TGAAACAAGAATTATGTAAAATTATGTTTCTTCGTACTAAGTTACTTGAAAAAGCTCACATTGAATTTGGTCATATTGGTGTATCCTCAGCACTAAATTTGTTATATCCTCAATACTATTCACCAGGAAAAGGGGATATGAAGATAAAAAATATTTAAATCAAAATTATAATTTTAATTAGCAGCTCCTTAATTTTTCATTTTAATTTGGGTATTTTTGCTCTCTCTTCCGAAAATAACGTTTGCTTAATAGCTTTTTTTGGACGGCGTCATTTCTAGAATTATCCATATCAAATGACTTTTACATAACGCTCTGATGAAAAGAACTTGCATAATCATTCAGCCCAAAATAAGTTTTACAGCATTATTGATTATCCAGTTAAATGCACTGAAACCAAAACTAACCCATTTGGAATTAAGATTTTATCCTGTCGAATCTATTAATTGTAAAATAAATCCTGTAGATACTTGATCATTCTTTACTGTACATACAGAATAATAAAATTGCGTAGATTCGTAATATGACAAGCACAGGCAGACATGAATAAAACAACACTTCCTGATACATATCATCATTACACATTATTTTAGATGCGATAAAGTTTTCCCGCAATCATTCCATATTACATTTTTTTAGACAATGGACGACATAGAGACAGCGCTGCAACATCGCATCTTAGCATAGAAAGGGGAAGGTAGGCAAAGTGGCGGGACTCAACGGTCGGCAACGGTAAGGCAGGCAATTTACGATTAGAGAAGAAGTATTTGCAATACTTCTCTTACATAAGGGGGCAAAATGGATTAATTTTCAGATGATGCAGACAGGAAGGAGACGTAATCAACTTAAAACGAGGAATTAAAACGACTATTGTTAAATTCAAGTTAGTAGTTTTCTTTCATATTTTCTCTCTCTCTTTCATTCTGTCTGTCTCTCACACACACAGGTACTCGTACAATATTTCTGTTTTATGTAAATTGGGTAGGTTTTTTTCATGTACAGTTTTTGATTTTGTTGTACAAGTTTTCTATTGTATGTATAATGGATAGGGTTTTTCGCGTGTATATATTAATTTCACTTTAATTTAGATGATTTGACGTTGTTTTACATGTAATATCAGGAATTAGGAAGTTCAAATGTTCTTTACGGTTGTAGCTAGTTTTTAACCTCTCCTTTCCTTATCAATCTATCTATCTATATAACTTATCAATATAGGAGTTAGTATCATAAATATTTATGTATTACATTTAATTATAATGTATCGCATTTAATTTAATGATTATCTAAAAGGTTTTATTTGTGATTCTGTGATAACAAAAACTTTCCCTGAAGAACTATGATTATGTGAACCTCTCAAACAAAACGACTTTTGGACTAAAATGCTGAAATATTTAAGGGGACTCTAAAAAATTTAATTTGTTTTTAAAAACTGATATTTATAAATTATACTTTAAAGTTATTTATTCAATTATTGATTATCAAAATTTCAAGATGCACGTTTTTCTTCATTTTCTAGTGCCTTAACGCTTTTTCTTTAAAAAGACTTCTCTGTCGCTACGCCTTTTTCTCCTTGAAGGAGGGGAATATGTAAGAAAAATAAAGAATACGTAAACGATTTAGCAACGTAAAATTTCCTTCTGAATTCTAAAAATAGTAACTTCTATTTGTACTATGTCATATGATTCTTACGTAATTCTAATGATGTAAATGGAACTAAAACTCAGACAGCCAATAGTAATTTTACAGCAATATTAACTATCCAACAAAATGCATTGAGAACCAAAACAAACTCAGTCTGAATTAAGATTTCACCCCGAACATAACGCACTTGCTTTCAATGCTTTGGCCTAACTGGACTGCTGTCTGTCTGCTCCTTTTTATTGCAAATTTATCTAAAATGTAAGCTTTTTTTGGAATAGGCGCAATTAATGTGCCAACTTGATTGTGGCCACAACATGTTTGCTGAAATAAAAAATGAAGATACCGCTGAGTTTGATTTTATTACATATATATATATGTGTGTGTGTGTGTAAGAAAGATATGTAAAAGATTAAATTAGCAACGTAAATTTCCCTTCTCAATTCTAAAAATAGTAACCTTTTTCTGCACTGCGTCATTTCTAGATTAATCCATGTCATATGACTTTTACATAATTCTAATGATGTAAACGGATCTAAAACTCAAGCAGCTATTACAGTAGTAATTTTACAGTAATATTAACTATCCAATCAAATTGCATTGAGGACCAAAACTAACTCAGTTTGAATTAAGATTTCACCCTTAACATAACGCACTTGCTTTCTACGCTTGGCCTTCTTTCTTCAGACAGACTTCAGGACTGCAGTCTGTCTGCTCCTTCTTTCTTACTGCATATTTACTTAAAATGCAAAACTTTTCGGTACAGGCAAAATTAATGTGCCAACTTGATTGTGGTCGCAAGATGTTTGCTGAAATACAAAATGAAGATTTAGCCTGCCTGCGCCTCCAATTTCCTATTCATTATGAATCAGCACTTCTACGCCATCCAAATTCTCGCTGTTCATTACGAATCCAACCGCCTACGTTCTACTACAGAATACATATATAATATTAGAACCTGATATACATATATATATTTAATAAAGAAATGTTGATTATATTATCTCCTAATATAAATTTAGTAGAATGTATTAAAATTAGGTAACCGAGAAGTATGAAATTTAATTCCCCAAAAAATTTTAAAGGGACTTTAATGCAAATCATGAAACAATTTTTCAAGGGGACTTGAATTTAAATCAAAAATAGAAATTTAAACTTTGAAAAAGAAAATTAATAAACCAAGTAATTATTGTCATTGATCGGAAATTAGTTGACTTTTCAAAGGGAACAAATCAACTTCCGTTCAGTGAACAATAATTAATAAATGCGAAGGTGTTTCGTCTTTTACTCAAGTAAGACTGATGATGACAAACTGGCAAATTTAGTTAAGGCTAAAATTGTAGTTCCGTTAAGTTACTGGATTTTTAGAAAACTTGAGATATTGAAGCCAAATTAAGTAGAGTACCAAATAATTCATTCTGAATGTAGCATTTTTGCTAAGTCAATGGATTCTTTAGAAATCTTGAGTGAATAGCCAAATGATGTAGGAAAAACTTAATGGAACTACAATTTTGGCCTTAACTAAATTTGCCAGTTTGGCATCATCAGTCTTACTTAAGTTAAAGACGAAACACTTTCGCATTCATTAATTATTGTTCATTGAACGAGAGTTGGTTTGTTATCCTTTAAAAGTCAACTAATTTCCAATCAATGACAATAATTACTTGGTTTATTAATTTTCTTTTTCAAAGTTTAAATTTCTGCTTTTCATGATTTAAATTCAAGTCCCCTTGAAAATTTTTTCATGATTTACATTAAAGTCCCTTTAAAAATTTTTCTTGGAATTAAATTTCATCCTTCTGGGTTACCTAATTTTGGTACATTCTACTAAATTTATATTAGGAGATAATATAATCAACATTTCTTTTATTAAATAAATTATTATTATCTTACTTTGCAGCTTTTGCGCAAATATTAGAATTTTTTTTTCGATTTGAATAAATTTCAGTTCATTATATATATATATATATATATATTAGGTCAAAGGCGATGCCGAAGTGAGTATGCCGAAAAGCTCTAAAATAAAAGATCTGTTTCTGCTTAGATAAATTCGAATGCCATTGTATTTTCCTTTTATGGCACATTGAATATTTGATTTGAAGTGAGTTGTAAGTTTCATTGATTTAGGAAGTTAATATTGTTACGAATTTTGTACTTGAATAGATAATTTTAGTAGAATTATAAGTAACATTGTTGTATTTATCTATGTAATTAAGCACGAGACAAATTTTAAGAGAAATCTATGCCGTGTATGTAAGAATACAGGGGCAAGTCCATTTAACATTGAGTAAATTGGTATCTCGGTAATTTGGCAAGAAATCGCTAAATGGTCGCAAAATTTGGGTCCGGTCCTGTATCACCGTAATATGTGTTGAAATTTAATAAATGTAATTGACCACTTTGTTAGCTGTAACCGTAATTCCATCCTCGCATTGTTTTCCAGTAATTTAGAGAAGCAGAAAGTACTACAGATACTTCGTGGTCGATTGAAAACTATTTAAGACCGAAGAGAGAGCATCTGCTCTCAGTCAGTTAGTGGCTTTTGTTGCTATTGTTGCGAGTTATAGCTGAGATATTTATTGACTGTTAATAGTTTTGATAGTTATTGACGATTTTCATTCTACTAAAAACCATTACATAAGTTAATAGTTTATATTAGAGTTCTTTATGTCAGTTTCTGTCAATGCTCTTTAGAATTGTACATTGAAGGGTTATGTATAGGAGGTAAAGAAGTAATTTTTTTAAACTTTTGATTTTGAACGAATTAAGCCCTAAAACTTCGATTAGTTTCTAATTTAGTCCCCAAAACTTAGAACACACTATGTATGTTTAAAAAAATAAAATATTGACAAAAGAATTTGCGATTTCCTGTATTTACTTGAACTCGGTTATTTTCATGGGCAACGTGAATACGAGCCAGTGTCTCTAAAACGTTCTGCGCCAATATATCCATTCCCTTCAGAAGATAGCTGTCGTGTACTTTGCTATAATAAATTGAAAGAAGGCAAATAATCTTGTATTTATTGAAACTCCTACTTAATCACTGTTGGCAGAACGCAAGTTACCAAGGATTGCCGCTTAGCAAGACTTCTTCATAAAACTGACAACTGAATACTGTGTTCCTTACCTCTGTGTATTATTTTATTCTAACTAGATTTGAATGCTTCTGGACTGAAATGGGCCTGAGAAAAGAACACGGGAAGATAGCAAAAAACAATAACTTGATTGCGTATTCTATAGTTAATATTTTTAACCTTTTCAATTCTGCATTTAATTATTATACCATTTATTTGAAAATAAACCATTACCAGTTTTAATTTAACGATGATTTAAACAAAAGATTATTTGTAGATAATACTGATTAGTTTTAAGCTTTATAAACATTTCATTTCTTTTCTTTGATGTAATTCCAGAAGAGCCACAGAGATGTGCTGTTGACGAAGAATTTCGCGAATGTGGATGCGTGAAAACGTGCTGCAATGCCAAGAAACCTGATGCTTGTGCCGGGCAGTGTCTCACAGGATGCTTCTGCAAGAACGGGCTTGCTCGAAACGAAGAAGGGAAATGCGTGAAATTGAGCCAGTGCAAGGAAACAAACGAAAACGGTAACTAGCAGTTATGCTTAAATTCTGTAAAAAATGCTTGAAATATTATAAGGTATTTCTCCCGCCTTCTTAGCGAACCTTCGTGGTGTAGTGGTCTGCACGCTCAGCGCGTAACTGAGAGGTGAAACGTTCGATTCCCGGCGAAGACGTTGCTAATTTTTCATGTCTCCTGCTTCCGAAATAACCTAATGTCTCTACAGTGGCGCCCGGCCCCTAATTTTTCATTTTGACTGCTTCCAAAAATACCTGATGTCTCTACAGTATTTCTTATTTTCTTGATATTCCATGTAACTAAATTTATAATTATCTCAAATAACATATAATATGCTTATTTTACATTCTGCTTGACCAGTTATATTGATATTTTCATATTTTTGATTTTCATCAGGAACATGGGTCAGTTTTTCAGTTTTTCTTTAGTATTAGCTTAAAATTCGATGTAGGATATTGCATACCTCATTTTCCATTTTGTTATATTTACTCCTTAAATCATACATACGTTGCAATAAAATTTATAGGAAACTTATTAAAGGTAGTGAAACTATTATTAGGATTATGGATTTGCGGGACGCACTCATTCTTATCAGCATTTTGTCACAAGTAACAGTCATTTCAATAAATTTCAACTTATTTTTTTTTTGTCTTATTTTTGTGATTCATCTTGAAAATAGAAAGTAAAGCACTTTATATTCACTACATTAATTTCAGTTTGCTCAGTAAAAGTACCTAGTATCACACAGTCTCTTAGCACTATCTCGTTTTCGAGAAAAAGCTTCTTAATGGTTAGGTGACGCAGAAACAAATATATAAATTATATCTGTTAAATTAAAGTATATACTGCAGCTATATTCTCAGACAACACTGAGTAATGGTATTTCTAATTAAATGAAGGGCATGCGCCGAGAAGGGTCATTTAATATACTGTTTCATTATATTGTTAAATTCTGTATTTCAGTCCTTTCTGCTGACCAGACATATTTCCTGCGTTATTTTAGCCTTAATCGTTTCAATCTTTGATATTTGTGTTAAAAGAATTTGCAGATTATGTATTATGGTATTCACTAATCCATTAATATGCGAATAATGTACCTAAAAAACCATAGAAACGCTCCACATATCGACTATTATCAAAGAAATAGTGCAATATCATAGTAAGTTGATCAGCGTGTGCAATATCAGGTGTGGAATGAAAAGTTATGGCTCAACTTTTGATTTTTAACTTCAATTTCGGAAATGTTTATAATTTGTTTCACCAAGAATTTCAGTCAATGCATTCCTTATTATCAATGATAAGTTATTTGCATTCTTTCTTTTAAGCCATTTTTTTTTTAATATGAGATGCTAAATTTTCATCAGACTTGCTTTAAGTTTTCGCTAGAACTAAATCTAAAACTTTAATTATCGCCACGAAATCTAAATGAATGTTTGCATAAAATTTTATAGCTTTAATCACTTTTTTCTATTTTTTTTCTTTCCAAATAACGAGTTTTAGTGTTTGTATGCTGATATCAGTACCGTATTATAGAACTTCTTGATACGAATCTTGTTATCGAGATCTTGTGTGCCATTAAACATGCATGTTGTTCAACACTTACTTTCATATTTATGACCTCCATAACCTTCATTAAAAGAGACATCTCAATAAAAGAAAAAGGTTTACGTATATAATTATAAATTAATTTATTGTTATTACTTTACATCAACCATTCTATTTCAATTTTTTGACTGTTTGCTTTCGTATAAGAAATGTTTTTATAGTTAACGAGCTTGTAATTTTCTCTTTACTTCGAATGACAAATTACTTTCGAGGCGTACTAAACGTATGTTTGACAAGTGTTTGTTTATAATAAAGCAATATTGCGTAATGGAAGTAAAATGTCCCCATAGCTGTATCACAAATTTATGTGATTTATTAAACACTGTATGTCTTCACTCCTTTTTTTTTTCCCCCTTGTTTTTGGTGGTACGTTAATCTCGATTTTCTTCAACTTCTTTTGTTTTACTGATAATGTTCTGGTAATTTCGTTCGTATAATGATTTTAACAATTCATTTGTTATTCATATTCCATTTTTTCCCTTCAACTTCCGTTTTTTTTGGGTAAAATACTTAAACAATACGTGTTCTTGTTCTAACAATTTTTCTCTTTTTCTATTTCTTTTTTGAAAGCCTAACTTACGTTGATAATTCATATTTGGTATTACTCATATTGATAATCATTTTACAAGAGTTCATTTCTGTGTATACCCTTAAGTCTTAATTTGTACAATAAATGAAAATAAATGTCTAGAGGCATTTAGATTATTTCTGAGCCGGGAAACATGAAAAATAAGCGACGCTTTTGCCAAGATTTGAGCTCTTCATCTCCCGACTGCTAGCCGGACGATCTTCCAATTGCAGCACAAAGGCACGCGGTGAAGAAGAAGAAAATTACTTACTGTTTATGTTACTTGTTATTTATAGGGTGATTCTAAAATATCTATTATTAAAGGCGAAAGTACCTAGAGGGGACCGAAATTAGCAGATTGTTTAAATGAATATATATACAGAAATAGCGTGCTGAGTCGGTAGAAGTCACTGTTGAGCTCGCTAGGTGACAACGGTCCACTAGTGTAAATATTTAGTCCCCGCACGGTGTTTCAGCGATGTCCATTGCTACATTAGCGCGGAATTCATCGAAATGCATTTTATCAGTTGGCTGCACACAGACGCTCGAGAAGGATCCTCATATAGAAAACTGCCGAATCTCGAAACGTTCGAACGTATTGCCCGGAAGCTTATTTGCGAGAAAGGATCGTTCCATCTTTGGGGGCATACAGATGAAAGATATTGTAAAACTCCTGCAGTGGGGAGACATTGTAATATGGAAACTGGATTAATCCAGTTTCCTCATCCAGTTTCCATATTACAAGAGTATTTTATAAGTAAGAGTATTTTATAGTAATATTTCCATATTACAATTCCAAGGGCGAGAATTGTTGGATGTGAGCCAACCAATCGTTTGGAACAGATTAAATAATGAAGAAATGCACACACATTACTTTCAGAGACTGTTGTTATTTTGAGCAGAAAATTATTCTCTTGTGTCTTGAGTTCAGCAAGCTACAGCAAATAATAATTTCTTGTCGGGAGTCTTACTCAAGGATGAGGAGACGTTTGCGGGTTCGGATTTGTTTATGATCCTCACTTCTCACCTTTAATTCATGATGATTCATATACCACGGGATCATAAACCTAGAGGAAAGAACCATCATTAATGTTGGAGCTGACATAGTACACAAATATTTAGGCTTCTAATGGCTGCACGCACAGCATGATCCGACAGAATATCTTGCCGGAGTTTCTTTCCAATCTTACCGTAGTTCTTCACTCGCGAGTGTGATTCCGAAAGCAGCTCACTTCCGTAGTAATGCCAGAAATTATCTCGACGTTATTTACGGTCCACAGTGTATCGGACGGGATGGATATTGACCACTATAATCGCTAGTTTGACGTGCATGGATTTCTACTCGTAACATATTAAGAGGATGATGCACGAAAATTCCCATTGAGTCTTGGAAGGTTTAATAGAACTAAAGGTCAGAATGACAGTTACTGTTGGAAATGTGCATGGAAGCTTAGAAGCCCTTGATAATGTAATCCAATCCGTGTACTGCTGCAATGAATCTTGTATTACTGCCTAGTGGTCGCGTCTTCTACCTATAAACCATTATTAATATTTCGCTTCTTTACTTACCTGTTGTTCACAACTTCTTTATGTGCCAGCATTTAAATTCTCCATTTCCCGCACATATATTTCATTATAAAATCATAAAATCTGCGGATCGGTACCCTGTACCTACCTTTACATTGTTACCAGATATTAATATCATCTAATACAGTTGCACATGGATAAACAATGAAGTGTGGACATACATGTAAACACTGCAAATCTGGAGCTATCAGATATACATACCTCATGTGCATTTTACATTGGCTCAGTATGTAGTACTAAATCCGATTTATTAATTACTACTATGATATTCATTTGTATAACTTAAAAATGAGAACATAAATATTCTGTATTATTAAAGATATGCTAAAAGTTTTTTATATTTCTTAAAATTTATTATCTTTTAAAAATTTATGATAATTTACTTTTTATTTACTCATTTTTTTCTGCATTGAAGGCAGGCCCTTTCGAATTACGGGCCCTAGACATTTGCCTTATTTGCGTATAAATTAATCCGGCACTATCCAGGCTGTTATTTTGAGAGCGATAGAAGCTGAAAACGTTAATGTGGAAAGTAACTAGGAAACGCTCGATAAGGCTATTAGTTTTAGAATTAGTGGCAAAATATATTCAGACTCTTGCAAAGAGTACAAAACAATAGAAAGTTCCTTTGTCATCACTTCATAAGGCTGATAGTTATATTTAAAACTTCAAATTAGAAGCCGTAAAGAAATCATCGCATTCGAAATTTTGTTAATTTGTGAAGATTTTGTAAGACTACCCTTGAATCAGTATTTTTGTTATCTGAAATATTTTTCTATATTGTATGTTGATTTAATTTTTTTATACAATAACATTTAACTTTTATTTGAAAATACTGAAACAAATGATTTTTTTTTCTGAGAAAGTTCAAAATCAATTTATTGCAATATCATTAGTTGAAACCAAATAACTTTTATCCAACTATAATTTTAAATTATTATGTGAATTTCCTTACTAAACATGCTGAATTATTACTTAGGAGTAGTAAGCTAATAAATAGAAAATTTTAAAACAATTATCTGAAGAGACAATGCAACACAAACAATTAAAATAAAAGTCTAAAAATTTAAAAATTGCCTAAAATAATAACTATGACAAAAAATAAATTATAAAGAAATCTATTTGAAAAAATAAATAAATAAACGATGCACCTTTTATTTAAACTATGGAGTTCGAGAGGGTAAATAGACATTTTCAAAACAGTTATTTGAAAGAAACCATGCAATTTAAACAATTGAAATGAGATTCGAAAAAGAAAAACAATTACTGAATATAATAACAATTATAATTAAAAATATTATATAAAGAACATTATTTGAAAAAAAGGAACGATTGTGACTTTTGTTTCGCTCACGTACGATGTAAAAAAGGAAAGGAAAATAATTTGCCATATATTAAAGTTCGCCAAGTGAACTGTTCTTGGCGCAAATTGAAAAAAACAGCGCCAACGTAAATTTGTGAATTTCTCCGTAAATTTCGCACCAAATTTTACAAAATTTAATATTTAGGCATAATTTGAATCGTAGAATCGAAATATGGAGAAAAATTGGTATGTTATTTCAGAAAAAGTCCGATTTTGTGTCAAAATACCTGTGTTAGAATATAGCTATATATAAATCTAATATATATCTCTTAAGTCGCTCTTTAAACGAACGCGATTTGAATTTCGTCAATTGGCCCAGTAGAACGGGAGGTATAGAACTGGCCCCATTCCCTCCCCGCAGCGTAAATATTTGATGTATTTTAAATTCCTTTTCACCTGCAGAATGTAGCATGTTTTATTTTTATGAGTGTTTTGTTTCGAAATAGCAGAATATTCTTCCAGTAGAAAAACTAATCGCTGATGAGATCATTAAGATATTTTTCCAACAGATGCTGTAACTGATTTCCTTGTATAATTGGTTGCCCAAAATACTAGTTTTAACTTTGAATCGGGTATATTTTTAAAAATCTAACAGTTGGCGACTGCTAGTTATGCCTCGTCGTAAAATATGGCCACATCTAATTGTCATTTAACTGTCTGATCATTGAGAATGTTGTTCAGAAGACGACTAATGTTAGACATGCAGGGAACGGGAAAGTCGTAGGCCTGGGAAAATCAACCCAGGCCTACGATTACCATACACTGTTCCCAGCAGCTAAAACGGCAATTAATTTTCTAAGAAAAAAATCATTGAAATATAAATTAAAATGTAATTCCTTATTCCTTTGTTTTTATTGCTCTTCTACAAATATATTTTACTAAGGGAACGGGTAACATTATCAACATTCGAGGAAAATGTGCAAAAATCAGGAAAAAATTACTATTTTCAACCCAAAAAACTTGAAAAATGAACTGAACCTCGCCTAGATTTTCTGGTTGCTATCTACATATACTAACCACTTATACTACGAAAGCATGTGTGGACGAATACTATAGTTCCTTACATTCTCCCCACTTAAAGAGTCATAGGGAAACGTTGAGTTAAAATTGTCCAAACTAAGGAAATGACAAATTATCACCCATCAAAATTTAATTTGGTTGCCACCGTAGGAACTTTTATATGTTTCTGGAGCTTGGAAACAGGAGAAGCCAACTATGCCATCTTGAGGACTCTAACCACGGGTCATGCAGTTCTAGCTAGATACGCTAACTATTTACACCTTGAAAACAGGAGCAGAAGAGGGAAGTAAATCCTTTTAACCTCAGGAATGAAATAAAAGTTTTTTTTTTTTTTTTTTCCTCCTCTTGATCTTTTAATATCTTTATAAGGTATTTCTCATGCCTTCTTGGCATGCCTTCGTGGTGTGGTGGTCTGCACGCTGGGTACGTATTTCAGAGGTTAGTGGTTCGATTCCCAGCGAAGACGTTGCTCATTTTTCACATCTCCAGCTTCAAAATAAACTAATGATTCTACAGTGGCGCCCGAACTAAAAGGGCGGTGGATGATGATTCTCCACACTCAGGGGGAGTGTATAAAAGGAGGAGTATATAAGGTATTTCTCCCGCCTTCTTCGCATGCCTTCGTGATGTGGTGGTGTGATGGAATACGCTGGGCGCGTATTCCAGAGGTTTCCGGCGAAGGCGTTGCTTATTTTTCACATCTCCATCTTCGAAATAATCTAATAACTCTACATCTTGATTTAACGATAATGTCAGAAATTCTATCAAAACGAGTGACATCTATTTTCATATATTTGAATTCAACAATTTTGTTTCTTTTTTTTCCCAGAGTGCGGAAAAGATGAAAAATACTATGATTTCAAACCTGATTGTAAGAACACATGCGAGAATTACGATAATCCTGGAATTTTATGTGCTATTGGAAAGCCGGGTTGTTTCTGCAAGGAAGAATTAGTAAAAAGGAAAGACGGAAAGTGTGTGAAACCCGAAGACTGTGGATCGATCGTAATTCCACCTGGTATGTATAAGATTAAAAAAAAAAAAAAAAAAAAATTGTTTTGTACGCTTTTACCCAGCTATATACTTATTTTGTGACATTTGCTTCAAGTTTTCTTCAGGTATTTCAAAAACATGCATGGAAGTTTTTTTTTTATATAGATTTTCGTTAAAACGTAAATTGCGTATATAAAAGTTAAAAGAATTTAAATCGCAATTAATCGGACAACAGTTCAAATTTTATTAAACCCAATACTATATCTAAAGCTGCAACAGAGCTGCATCTTTTCGTGCGAGTCATGTATTAGCAAAACATAAGAAACCTTTCGCAGGTGGAGAAATGATAAAAAAGCGCTTCTGGAAGCCAGTGATTCATTATTCTATTCATTCGAGAACAAAAATGAAATAATTCATGCATTTAAAGACGTACAACTTTCGCGTAAAACTGTCACACGTAGTATAGAAATGATGAATTCTAATCTGGTTGATCAGCTGACAGAAGATATTACTAACTGCTTTTTTCTCAGTTTGACGAATTTAAGAACAAAGTTGATATTTCTGAAATGTGCATTTTTATAAGAATGGTTTTTAAGGATATGAGTGTAAAAGAAGAATTATTAACAGTATTAACTCTAAAGAAAAAAACACGAGGTCAGGATGTTTACTGCGCCTTCAAAAAATACATAGAGGAGAAAAAAATTTCAATTTATGAAGTTGTATCGATGACAACTAATGGGGTCCCATGAATGACTGGCACAATCAATGGACTTTTGGCTACGTGTACCAGAGACGGTGACATGCCACATCTCCTTTCCAATCATTGCATTATTCACCAACATGCCCTCTGTTGTAAAATTGTAAATATGCGACATGTTATGGGAATCTGTGTGAAAATTATGAACTCAATTCGAAGAAGAAGTCTTCAGAGAAGAATGTTTCAGGCCAACTAGAAGAAAACGAATTTGTTTATAGGGAATTGTTATATCATGCAGATGTTCCTTTGTTAAGTGGGAGTATCTGTTTAGAAAGATTCAGAGACCTACAAGAGATAAAAGATTTTTTTTGGAATCAAATGATAAAGAGTACGTTGGACTTACTGATGACGTTTGGTTGATGGATTTAGTTCCCAGTTGACAAAGAATGAACTAAAAAGTTTCAAACCTATTTCTGACGAGTTGTTTAAAAACGGAGGTGCATTAAGCAAAGAGAAATATTATGATGATGAAATAATAAAACTTCACTCTGGATTTGAGAGACGTTTTTAAGAATTTACTAATGAATAACTTTTCGAATCTAATGGATGAAGTATTGGAATAACTTTGGCTCTACCTACCTGTGTAAATCTGCATTTTCAAAGATGAATATAATTAAGACAACACATCATTCCCGTCTCGTAGACGACCATTTAGAAACTAGTGAAAGATTAGCAGTTAGTAATTGCATACCGAGATATTCAGGATTGGGGGACAGTATGCAGACTAAATCTTCTCCTAACTATAACTACAAGAACTAACTTTAGATGAAAATGATTTACTTTTTAATATACTTTAAATTGTTTGATAAGAAATGCATCATTTGAAATTATAATATTTTTGGCTATTATTATTATGCTTGTAGATTGCGTTTTACTTTAAACTCGGTTTTAAATGAGTAAGTGGTTTTAAGCAGGATTAGGTAGGGAAGTCCATATTCCGTATTTATTATTAAGTTATAATAAATATTGTAGACCTTTATTGTAGTACCATGCCTACACCAGTGGGTGGACCGCAACACCTTAAAAAATTAGAAATAACCCGTACCCTGGAAAAGTCTGCCCACACCTGGTTTACAGCAAGTAGTAGATAATGAGTTGAATTAATTGTTTTGTCTCAGTTTTAAGTTTTAATGTCCCAACTTAAAAGGAATAAAGTACACATTAACTTTTGTCTTTTTATTTGTATCTTATTATTTGATTTGTATCTATAAGTCTATAGTAAGCATTAAAAGAGGATATAACTCGCAAGCAAGTTATTTTTATTAGTCGTTAGCTGGAATCAAGAGATTTGATTTAAACTGTTCAGTTTAAGTAGTTAGTCACATTTTGATATTATAAATTAATAGAATAATAAATAGTTAAGATTACAATTTGTACATAAAAATAATAACTACATTAATAATTCCTTCTTATTTACTCAGTGTTTTTATTGTTTAACTAATCCGCAGCACTTTTTAACCTTACAGATTGTATGAAATTAAAACTTTTCCCTACTCTATGCTTTCTTGGTGCAAGTGATTATCACACCTTGTTAGCATTCTGTGGCTGGAATTTTGAGGAAAGCACAACTGAGTTTTGACGTTTCCTAGTCTGAAAAACCGCTAATTCGGCTTACAATGCACAAATGCTATGTACACTGGCAGCCTAAATCATATGTAGTGAATGATACGTCATCATTAACCTAGATTTGTTCAACTGAGTCTTATGCCTACTCTCCTTTTAAGTGAGGGAAGAATGTAAGGAACTGTCTCATACTTCCGTACATCGTCTTGTGGTATTAAGTGGTATAAGCTTTAAGCATACCCACCTAGCATTAGAAATCCCGAATGATGCGATTCCCGGAAAGGGTAAAGTTGATTTTTCATGTTTCTCTTTCGAAAGAAACCGTGGTCTGTACAAGATGTTAGAAACGGCTTTGTTTTTAGGGCTTTTTATATCTGTTTGAGTTACGTTTTCATTGACAAATTTATTACAGAGAGCGATATAAATCTAGAAGAGTTTACATAGGAATCTTCTGAATAATCGGAATCTTTCTAATAAGAATCATATTTAGCGATTTGTTATATTACGTTTATCATTCTTTTATTACGTTATATTACATTAATAAGGTGTTTATAATCCATTCTATCTGTCAGGTATATTCCAGAAGGTATAAAATCATTAATCCATCTTGTACTCAGTTTGGCAAATAGCCTGCTTACAGGAGTGTTGCCATAGGATCTGACTCAAGATACTTGGTTTACTTTCAAATCAGAATTATACATTGCTTAGCTAACTGATGCTTTAAAAGCAATAGATGTTAAGAAATTTATACCTTTATTTTAGTTATAATAATAAAATGCATTTTGTAATACAGAATATATAATATGCTTGCGAATTTTTATGAAACATTTTATGCTCATGTTTATATGAAGTATAGAATCTAATTGAAAATACTAATTATGTATGCCGATTATAATTTTAAAATAAAATATGATATACGTATTCCTCTCTAAAATTGTATCAAAATTTGATTTTAAAGAACCCAATAATATTTTGCTTTCAGGTACAATATGTGGAAAGAATGAGGAGATAGTTCCTTGCGCAAAACCAAAATGGTGCAATACCTGTGCCATTCGCGGCAATTGCAAATTGAAGACGTGTTCAGAAGGATGCGACTGTAAAGAAGGATTTTACAGAGACGATAACGGAATTTGCATTCCATCTTTTCAGTGCCCTGTTGATAAGCCAGCAAGTGAGTAATGCCTCAGTATGAATTAAGATAATCAGTATTGCCTTTATTTCAGCTTTCAGGTTTCATATCCATTAATTTCATCATCTGTAGCAGATTTATCTGTTACTGTGATCAACTGTTACATACAGGATGTTCGAAACAAGTGGTTATAGGCTTGATTTGAACAAAAATGGAGTCTAGGCATAACATTGTTTAACGGAAAGTTAGAAGGAGTTTTCATTTTTCCCATCGCATGCTTCGGTGAAATAACATAATAAATAATGGGAGCACATACTTCTGGAAATGGAAGATCTGAAAGTCAAATCCCGGCGAGGACATATCGTGGTTTTTCATACCTTCAGAGATTTCTAATAGCTTTACAAAGTTTTTGACAATAAGGTTGAATAATGTACAGGATTAAAAAAAAAAACATATTCAGCAGTGGGGATAAAATAATTTTATAAATACGCATTTTAATATTTTTTATAAGCCGTGTTAAACAGCTCTAATAGAATGTCTAATATGCTACACCAAATTAAATACAAAATTTGCCTTAGGCGTATGTGCAAAATTGGCAGATGTATAAAGGAAAGAATTTAGTTTTTTAGATCAGATTTTGGCATCTGTTATTAAGACTTCCTAGTTATATTTTGGTCTGATTTAATGAGAAATACAAAACATAAGTTTCTCGTTTTAACGATCAGAGTTTCTTCAGAGGGTAAAATCGTATTAATATTAACTTTATTTACTACTGTTAGAAAATATCAATTAGTAATAATAAACCACTTATCATAACCTATCGAAAATGGAGAGGATAGAAATCTTCTAACTTCGAGATACTGACTTATCAAAACAGCAGATATTTAAGCTTTTAGACCTAAATATTATGATTGTTTAATATTATGCATCTTCCATTGAGATCATGATTACAAGAACAATGACGAACCCAGAGGACAGCAGTTGGTAACCAAAAACCAATTCTTCTCCGGCGGAGAAGCGAGTGAATCTAATGTGAGTGAACTCTTGAATGTCATGTATTAAGCTCAGCTTAGTGCAGCAGTGTTTATACAAACCATCAGAAGATATTTGCATGATCAAGAACAATAAGTCAAAAATCTAGCTGCATGTGTTCTGTTGACATCACGCCTCCGCAATGAATGGCTAATGTATTGTTCATTCACGTGGCACTGTAAGCTACACCAGAGACTATCTTCTTCAGCAAAGAATTTTGCTTCTGCTTCAAGCTCGAAGATTATTCTGGGAACTTCGTAACCATCAAGAAGCCTTTATAAGACAATCGACCCTGCTCTTGGAGAAACCCTCTTAATCCGTGACTGGCAGAACTGTCTAGTCTTCTTTTCAGGTACGACTGTGTTTCGCCACTACGTTAATTTGCTCGCGAAACCAAGGGTGCGAACATTCTGTGCGAACTTAACATTGCATCACAGCTTGCCGCATATTCTGATTTGTATCGAACACATATGGGATGCTATTGACCGCATATTGCAAAATGAAGAGAAAGTTGCCAATCTTAATGCCTAATGTGCCCAAAGAGTTGTAACGTGACAAAACATTCCTCAAACAATGATTAATATTCCTATTGATAGCATCAAAAGTGCTGTATTAAGGTACTTTTTCGCACATTCCTGCCATAATCCATACTGAATAAAATAAGATAGTATGAATAATTTATCCCTAATTTTTAATTATTTGCTTATGATTAACGTACTTATATCAGCGAATTTCAAATTTCTATGGCTTTCCTTTTCATGCTGAAATTTCAAAACTAATATAGTTGAGTAATGTATTATTATATTATTATAAGGTTAACAGCTAAAAAGGATTCACGTATACAACACTCAATCAGTTATCGTTTCAAGGAATTAAGTTATGAATTATTTTAGGAAAATATGTTGTTCTTCTGAACTGAAACGTAAGAAGAGATTATAATTTTCAGTAGTGATCCAGACGATGTATTCTTGTTGTCAGCAATATTTTTTTTAAAGCAATACTTTTATTTTTTCAATGTTTATTATCTGGAAAAACTGAAACCGTACTGTTTTAATTTACAATGAAACAGTTTCATAAATTTTCATTATTTTTACTATTAATTAAATTTGATTTGATAATTAGTTAAAAATATTTCTTAGATTGATTTTTCGTTATGAAGTCAATTGTTAATGGAGGCTTTGGTACTTTTAAAACAGTTTTGACCTTAAATCTTGTTTACAACATAAGTGTAGTTACTCGTTCAATTTACTTCAACTTATTTTAGCAGCAAATTTTGGCTGCAACTATCAGGTCCAGGCGCCCTTTACTAATAAAGCCTGTAAATATCGTTACATCTTTTCTGCATTATTGGTACTGGTAGAGTGAAGCTAATAATGCAATAAAGCTCTTTGTACAGAAGCTCTCTTTTCAGATCATATGCCGTAAATATTGTTATTCTATCTTTCCCTTTTATTTTTTAATGAGAATAGTTTTAGAAATAAAATATTACTGTTTAATAACAATGAGTATTAAACATTTGAAATTTGCATACTGAAAGAGTTAAATTTTTTGTTTTTCTAACTGCGATGTAATGTATGTGTGTGCGTGGAAAATACGGCCACATGGTCATGAATTTGATTCTTAACATTAACATCTAGTATTATTGTTGTACAAAGCTTTAGTTCGTTCGGTTAGTTTCTGAAATCCTAGGTGTATATTTTTATTTTGGTGTGATACTTTCGATTTACCATAAATTGTCAGATTTTACCAAAAATCTGTCAATTATTTATTACAACAATCATGAGTAGTTCCTTTAATATTATAGGTCATTTGAAGGAATGCACGTTTTTCATTTATAAGGACAGTAAGCTTAAGACGACTTAAGCCGAAATGTGAATGGGAAATGTGCATTCTAATGTTCGTTTATAGTGAACCCCAAACTTTGATTATAGTAAAACAACAAATTAAAGCTCCAAAGAGACAAATATAGAAATTATAGTTTGGTTTATCTCCTAAAATATACCTAATGTCTCTACAGTCGCGCCCGAACTAAAAGGATGTTGGATGAGGATCCTACACACCCAGGATTAGGCGATTGGGTCCCCTAAAAACCCCAGTCGCCCTTTAAAAGGGGGAGCATATAAGGTATTTCTCCTACTTTCCTAGCGTGCCTTCGTGGTGTAGTGGTCAGCACACTGAGCCGATATTTCAGAGGTCCGTGGTTCGATCCCCGGCGAAGGCGTTGCTAATTTTTTAATCTCTCTTGCTTCCAAAAAATTCTAATGTCTCTACAAGCTTATTATGTATTCCATTAAGTGCATAGAATGATAAAAGTGGGTTGTTACTTGCAACGCTGAGTTCATGTGTTCAGAAGGGTGGCTAGGCAGGTGGAAGAAAGTAAATAACATTATAATCAAGAAGAATTACGTATATGGAAATGGTAATATAATGCCGTGAAACCTTGGATCACGAACGCCTTATTTCACGAACAATTCGATGTACAAACAAATTATCTGAACAAAAAACACCTCAGATGATAAGTGCATTTCCATTTACGAAGACTCAAGACAATGATATATGATTTTGAAAGTGTTTTGAGGTAAACTATGCCGCATACTTAACACCCGGGAATTTTTGGAAAATTTATTTGAATATATTCCGATGCTTAGCTCTCATTAACGAAGTCTAGCAACAAATGACTTACAGGACCAAGAATTCAGCTTGGAGGAAATTATAGACATTTAGGTTGTAGGCAGAGACTTCGAAAGTTTTGACATTTGTTTCTGTCTATGATAGTGAATATTTGAGAAACATTATGGGCTTGGACCTTAATAATTAAAACATGGAGAATTTATTAGAGTACCATAAAATTGAGCTCAACAAGGAACTGCAACTTTAGAAATAGCAACATAAGCCGACTATGGAAGAATTCTGTTTAAAAGAAGAGGAAGGAAAATATTCGCAAGTATATGGAAATAGGGTAAGATTCAAAGTTTCCATGAAACGATATCACTCTGGTAAAGTAGTAGCAAGCTACAGCATAGGCAGTATTGATAAAGCCATGTCTTCCATTAGAAACATTTTAAAATTTAAACTACAATAAATTACATTGAACAAATTTTGAACGAAGCAGAGTCCCAGTTAGTTTCAGGCATAATCAATTTAGAGATAGGAAAAAAAAAGAAAAAACGAATAAGGGAAAAATAAAGAAAGAAAGAAAATGCGAAAGAATAGTTATGTGATTTAATGTGGCACGAGAGGGTTTGCGAAGGTTTTTTATGCTCTCGTTTGATATTTTCAATTTATATATAAGCTTTTAAATTCACTACTTCTAACGCATCTTTTTTTTTTTTTTTTTTTTTTTTTTTTTTGTTTTTGTTTTTAAACTTCATTATTAAATATCAATACTGTTCGCACTTATGCCATATAAAATTCAATAGCAAAACCACAATACTTTTAAAAATATTGGATATACTAAAAATTTTTAAACAACAATACTTTAAAAATCTTTAGTATATCCAATATACTGTTAAACGTTGTCATACACAGTTTAGCCCAAAAAGCCTAATATTCTCGAAACTTACTCCTCGAATCGCTTTTGTTGTCCGTTTCAGTTTTTAGATATCTAGTCGAAGGCACTTCCAGCCGCGTAAAATGAATTTTCGTTTCAGGAAAAATAAAAATATATATATAAAACGCTTTTGATATATAGAGCTAGTGTAATTTCACACGTCGCGTTAGTAATTAATAAAAGAGATAAAGAACTGCCTTTATTGTTAATCAATAACAGGATGATTAAATTTAAAAGAAAATCTTTTAAAAAATCTGAAGGATTTCAGATTTTAAATTACACCCAAAGCGGCGTTTTTTTAACGATTTCTGTGTTATCTTTATTTATTAAATATCATCTTCTTTCCACTTAAACTATAAAATTTAGTTCAATAGCAATACCGCAAAGTAATCTTAAAATGAGCATACCTTTAGAATTTCCGATACACAGTTCCCCGCGCTGGAGATTAAAAGGTTTTTTCCCCCGTAGAGTTTTGCCATTTCTCGTTTTGAAATCCTTGAGTTTGTTAATCAAAAATTCGTTAAAGTTTTACAAAATATGAAATCGATCATAAAACAAATTCCAAATTTCAAATTTGGTCTTCCACATGGCCATATTCGTAGGAGGATTACGTCATTCAAAATTCGATGACTCTGTGTACATTTGATGACTCTGTGTACCGTTGAGAGAAATATACATACATTTATGCAAACTTTTCATTATTTAATTTCTTCAAATATAATGCAGGAATCTAATATTTGGTGGCAACAGTTTGAAAAGTGAAACGGACATTTATAGTGATTCAACGCAAAATCGCAAAACGAAAACAATAGTCCTTCAGGGACAAAGCCCCTTTGGAATAATTCAATATCTTAGCTTTGCGAAATGGCAATAAACTGGCACATGGAAGTTAAAAATATTTTATATAGAATATTTTTAGAATTTGTATAGTGTTACACATTGTCATTTTTTTCGAAGTTCACTTCCTTATTTCTTTGAAAATGACACATGGCAAACACAATTGATGGAAACATCCTTTTATTTGTTTTGCCACACAGTTTTTTAAATTTCCTATAACAGTGGTCGGCAAACTTATTAGCCAAAGAGCCAAATATGAACATTACAACAATTTTAAAAAAAATTGGGAGCCAAATGTGCTTGTTTAGTTAACTTTTATTACACTAAATAAAACTAAATAAATATTTATTAATGCGAACAATGTGCTTGCATCTCCTTGGAAAGTTTGAGTAAGTCAGGTTTGTATGTTGTTGTTTTTAATTTTAGGCATGATTCCAAGTTCTCATCAATAAGACGACTTCTCGGTTTACTCTTGATAATGTTCATGCTTGAAAAAGATTGTTCGCATATATATGTAGAAACGAAAAGAAAAAGAACAACAAACGCGAGCTTTTTCAGCTGATCGTAAGAGCCAAAAATACTATTCGAAGCGTAGAAATGATCATGTCTTCCTTCTCCAGGTCATTCAAAGCAGACCACTTGTGTTGTGAACTAAGATCACATTTTTTCTTCTCCAATATTTCCAATTCAACACAAAGACGTTCGAATTTAGAGCGCTATATCTCCTTGTTTTTTAAATCCAGCGATTGTATTTCAAAGCTACCAATGTCAATTTCAAAAGGAGAAAATTTCAACTCGGTTATCGTAGCATTAAGAGGATTTTTGACAAATGCTAAAGTTGCTCCGCTGTTTTTAAATTCCTGAAACCTGCTGAGAAATGCTTCCCTCATATTTAAAATTATTGTTTTAAAATGCTGTTTATCAATAGAGGAATTATTTTCTTGGCGTTGCTTCAGCAGGCTCGGAAAGTAAAACAATGTTTCTCTTTCGAAATCCTGTGCAAAAATGGATAATTTGTTTTCGAATGTTATTACTTCTTCTAACATCGAAAAAAATTAAGTTTCCTTTCCCTAGCAGTTTACGAGTAAGCTGATTTAGAAGAGACGTAACGTTTACCATGAAATAAAAGTTTTGGATCCACTGATCGTCTGTTAGTTCTGGATAGTGAATGCCCTTCTCATGGAGAAATGCTTTAATTTCCCGAAAAAGGGACGCGAAACGTTTTTAAACGTTCTCAATTGATAACCAACGTACCTTGTTATGAAGCAGAAGATCAGCGTACTCAATCTCTATTTCAAATAAAAATTCTTTGAATTGGCGATTATTAAGAGCTTTAGCTAAAATGGAGTTGATAATGGTAATCACTAATTCCATAACTTTACAAATTTCTTCCAATAATGTTTGCACACAAAGCGCTTCTTGGTGAATGATACACTGGTAAACAAGTATCTCGTGATTAATTTTTTCTTTCAAAATAGCAACAATCCCTTTTCTTACGCCGGTCATACTTTTCGCCCCATCTGTTGAAATTGGCACATTTTTATCGAGGGCAATATGATGTTTATCTAGACAATCAATTACAGCATCGGCGATATCTTCTCCACACGTCTGACCTTTGAGTGGCAATAATCCTAAAAGTTCTTCTTTATGGCCTGAATGAGACATAAATCTTACAAAAAGTGAAACTGGTGCTGTATCATTTATGTCATAAAGACTCGTCAACTGCTATTGATAAAGCCGAACCCAATTTCAGATCTTCGATATGCTGGGTGGTTATATTCGAACACATTTTAATTCTTCTATCTTTAATGGTTTTGGCAGACAATGGTAACTCTTTAGTTCTTTTCAGAAGGTTCTTAAAATCCCGAAATAGCTCTTCGGATGAATTTATAAAACAATTTCTTATGTATTCGCCGTCTGTGTACGGTTTTCTTCTCTTAGTAATCTCTTGGCTACAAACAAAACTTGCCATATTAATATTGCTAGAAGATTGCATCCAGTTATTAAACACAGAAGTTGACGACTCTTGACTCTTCTGAAGTTGCTCAACTGCTTTCTTCTTTGCATCACCGGTAGGATATTTAGTGATAAATGATGCGTGCTTTGTTGTAAATTTTCTCTCTATATTTGACTTCTTGTTATGCGCGAATTTCTGCTTACAAATAAGACATGTCGGAAGTCCATTCAAGTTTTGAATAAACGCAAAATTCTCTGTCCACTCAACTTTAAATTCGCGGTTTTCATCTTCCGTTTTTCTTTTTTTTCTTTTTTTTTTTTTTGGTAGCCATGTTAATTGGGGTGCCTATAACAATATTCCAAATATATTTTTTTCTAAAGCCACCAGTACAAAATTATTATGATTATTAAACTGATGAAAAAAAATTAAAAAATCTTTTTAAAAAATACAATTTTATTAATATATGTAACTGCACTAAAAAGAAAAAACAAAATTTTTTTTCCATCATCAGAATAACAAAACTTTTAATATGACCAAAAGTGGAAGAAAACTTCCAACGTTTGGACAAATAGAAGTTATCGAAAAATCGATTATAAATTTTGTACCGGAACCACAAACATACATAGCAGGTGTAATAAAATCGTATAAAATATCTGTAAGATGTGCAGCTAGATTAAAAAATACAACAACTTTTTAATAACACAGAACAACGGCAGGATACGGTAGATAAGACAAAACTGTCCACACTGCAACTGCTGCTCTGTGATGCCAATTTGTACCTTCACTACTTTATAAAAAGCATGCACGCGCATGCCGGTAGCTTGTACATGGTTTATGTTTACGTTTACGAAAACTAATAAAATTAAACTCGATGTTCGTTACGTATTTTTACAACAATATAAAATTTAATTACCTATATATCTTTTTACTCAAATAAAAATTATACATGTTCTCAATTTATAGAAGAATTTTAATTTATCAAAATAAGATGTAATTTTTTTTCTTACCAAGATTTTTTAAACGAAAATATTGAGCCTTCCGTGGCTATTTGTACCAGAGCGGCACTTAAGGAGCCAAAGAGCCACATGCGGCTCTGGAGCGGCACTTTGACGACCACTGCCCTATATAATTTGTTTAAAAAGAATACACAAATTAACATTTGCCGGAAGAACAGCATCCTTTTATTTGTGTTGCCATATTTTGTTTTATATATTTGCTGTATTATTTCTTTATAAATAATAATTTTTGGTGGTAACATTCGAAAAGTGGTGTGGGTAAAAAAGTGAGTTTTGTGACTAATCTCGCCTTTGGTACTTAGAAAAAGGTGTCTTTATTTCTTTGTGCCGGGATTTATCCTGGTTATTCATCTGATGATATGACTTCGTTGATGACTGGCCAGACTAACTTTATCAAACTAATATTTAAAAAATATTTAAAGAGATAAAATTTAAAAACAGTTTGAAAGGAGAAAATGCGTTGGTGGCAAAAATTCAAAACCTTAGTAACGCTTATATATATATATATATATATATCAAAAATATATATATCAAAATAATATATATATATATCAAAAAGTAAATGTCGGAACAAAATTGAATAATTTTTTTCCTTCCATGAAGATCTATCCTTTCTTCTCCGAGCAAACAAATTACCAAATTGAGTAAACGTAAATTAAGGAAACTTTCAAAAAACTTCAAAAGGCTTGTTCAGAGATAAAAATAATTATTAGAAAATTAAAACAAACCCCTACAACTTAAATAAAACCAAAAATATTATTTAATGAATTACTTTAGGCGTTGGGCTTTAAAATTCATACGATATTCAAAAAGTCTTTTGATTTTTTATTTAAACTTAGAACAAATCTTAGAAGAGATGCATGATATCTAGTGTTCTGTGCAGCCGAATTTAAGGATGACTGCTATGCGCAAAGTGGGCTATAATTTTAATTTACTTCTATTTAGTTTTCCAATAAGCGTCTGCAAGAATGATTGCTTTCCAGATGCTATACCATAAGCGCCTACGAGAAAATGAATATTTTGCAAATTACACACAAAATTTAAGAAGGTAGAGATATGCATGACTTTCGTTATTAAATGCATCTACACGCAAACAGTGGCACTGAAAATTATAAACGGGTTTTATTTATGTCATGTCTAATTTACACTTTGAAAAAGTTACAAAATATGTATATGCATGCAAGCAGCTAAGTTCATAATCCATTTTTTGAAAGAAAAGTATGATCTAGATGCTGTTTGATCTAGTATGATGTTTTTAAAGAAACGTATGCTGCTTATAAAACGTTTATTGAAGTTTCTATAGAATGTCTTTTGATCGTTCTGCATTCATTTCGTATTCGTTCTGTTGTAGACACATGTGGAAAACATGAAGTATATAAACAGTGTGGAAGCGCTTGTCCTCCTACATGCGCAAATCAAGGTAAAGTTCAGTCATGTACGCCGCAGTGTAAAAGTGGTTGTTTTTGCGAAGATGGTTTTGTGAGAAATTCGAAAGGAGAATGCATCAAACCAGAGGATTGCGAAGATGAAAGTGGAGACAGCGGGGATAATTCTGGTAATTGGTCTGATTCCTGAAAGGAACATGTTTTAAGGTTTTACTTTACAACGAAATTCATTATTAAGGTCTGATGCTGTATTCCCTATAAAAATCATATACCAACTTTTCAGCAAGCGCATTTGATTTTCTTTCTAAGGCTTTAACATTTTTCTTTAGAAGAGTGTGCGGAGGATGAAGAATATCAGGAATGTGGAACTGCTTGCCCTGAGACGTGCGAAAACTTTGGAGAACCTCGTACATGCACTTTTCAATGCGTAAGTGGCTGCTTTTGCAAAAAAGATCTAGTTAGAAATTCCAGTGGGCGATGTGTTAGACCTGAACGTTGTAGCAACGGTAAATATTTTATGATTTCTGTTTGGTATATAAAACTTTAATAATTGTTGTGTGGTGAATATTTTTTATAGAATGGTTGTTTTAATTTTGGAATGTTAGTTTTAATAAACCCGGTTGTTGCCCGTTTTTGGTTTAATTTAGAATGCTTGTTTTATTATGTACATGACGTTTCTTTAAATTTATAGAACGTTTGTTTTGATATACTTGTTTAATTTTTGAGCGAAGAATATTTTGTAGTTCAAAAAGTAGTTATTTCTATGCGAATAATTTATCTTCTAATTTTCTCATTCGTGTTTCCGAAATGAATTTTTCTGCTCATTTCATTGAAATGATTTTTCAAACTAATTTAATTCAAAATAACATTTTCTTCTATTTAAAGCATCACATTTCTTAAAATTATATAAAGTGAATCATAAAGTAATCGCACACTAACCTTCTTACAAAAAGAAAGAATGATTATTTTCAATTTCTTTTTCGGGTTATCAAAGAAATTACTTCTTTTCTTTAAATAATTCTTTTCATTATTTCTTAATTATTGTTTTACATTTCTTAGTTCATTTATAAATTCAACTTGCATTTTAAGCCATTAAAATTTTTCTTCGAGTTGAAACTGATCTTTGATTGCAAGCAGAATTCAAATCATCTTCTGAAATTTAATTAGGTGTTTACTTAAATTTCTTTATCTTCCTCTCAAAATATATTTAAATAAATCTGATTTGCCACCCAAACCAATTAAGTTGTAAGCATAGGTAAATGCTTAATGAAATATTTAAGTAAATGGCTGAATTAAATGATAATAGCAAATGCTTATTCAAACACTTAATCTACAAAATAAACTTTTTTCGTACTACAAGAGCCGGCTACCAACATTTTCTCTTGGTTAGTCTTACGGTAATATGTGCATATGAGTAGTACACATATGTAATAATCTAAAATGATAATTATTTCACTTTGAAACATTATAACGTGAAGGAGGATTATGGCGTTAGATCACCTTTTCGCGTGCAAGAAGGGCTACCATATCCATTAAAAATTTTTCGTATTGAAGGAATAAAAATCATCGTAAGTTGTATAAATTTCCATGTTTATTTGTAGAGGTTTGAATAGAACCTTCTTCTTTAGCTGCAGGAGTTAAAATGTCAAGGGAGAAGTTTGTGTTCTCACGATAACAGAAAAAAAAAATCGGAAAGCTTTCAAATTTTATATTACGCCCAAAGGGGCCTATTTTATTTCCTTGTACGAAATAAATGAAGTATTGTGATCGCGAAAAATTTAGAGTATCATATATCAACAAAAATATCTATTTCAACCGCTCTCGAAACCATTTGAGCGATGCTTTTGTGTGACATTTGTACGTATGGATAGAATAAAGAACTATTTTTACCAAAAAAAGATTGTAAATGGGATTTAAAGTGGATTCAGAAGAGATCTTTTATCGACGGCTGTACGTACGTATGTATATATGTATCGCATAACGGGTGGAATAGAATTTTTAGTTACCTGGCTTAGTGATCTTAGTTTTTTATTCTTATACACTGGTAAATTGGGCATTTGTTTCCTTTAATAAAGTTAAATAAATCTGATTTACCACTCAAACCAATTAAGTTATAAGCATAGGCTTAATGAAATATTTAAGTAAATGGCTGAATTAAATAATAATAGCAAATGCTTATTCAAACACTTAATCTACAAAATAAACTTTTTTCGTACTACAAGAGCGGGCTACCAACATTTTCTCTTGTTAGTCGTACGGTAATATGTACATATGTGTAGTACACATATGTATATAATCTAAAATGATACTTATTTCACTTTGAAACATTATAACATGAAGGAGGATTATCGCGTTGCATCACCTTTTCGCGTGCAAGAAGGACTCTCATATCCATAAAAAATCTTTCAGTATTATTGGAGAGTCTGAAGGATTAAAAATCATCGTAAGTTGTATAAATTTCCATGTTTAGTGATTGAATTATGTGGTTTTTATGGGTTCATGAATTATGTGGCTATGAATATTTTTATGAATTATGTGGTTCATGAGATGGCAAAGTTATTAAAGAAACACAGAAGCTTTATTCTATTGGCGAATTAGATTATATTCAAATAAATACAGAGTTAAAAGTAAAATACACAGTTACAAATAAATATACATTGCAGTGCTAATTTGAAAGCATGAAAATCGAAATTAATACGTAGCATTATGATGTATTGTGCCAGGACGTTTAAAAGCATGCTCAAGAATGGGATCATAGTCCTCTAAACTGGTTACCCCTAGTGGGACCATAGTCTCGCTAGTGGAATCAGTGGCGTAGCGAGGGGGGGAAAGGGGGTATATGATGCCCTTGGCGCTGCTCGCAAAGAGCAGCAAATGGTCTCCAAACAAGGTTTTCCCGAAAATTTGTTTTTTATTTTAATCGATTTCTGAAAAACATATTTAAAATTAATAATTATTGTAATATAATTAATTATTTATTTTCTTGTTTTGTCTGATAAAATGTGTAATAAAATGTTTGCGGTATATCAATTAAATATTTCCGCATACAAAACGTTCTTTCTGATCACTTTGTTTCTCTAAAAATAGCCGATTCCTTAGTCTGAAAATGACATTTTAGGAAACCCCTAAAGCTTCCGCTACAATGGATTGCGTTTGACGTTCCTTTAAACGACTGATGGCCTTCCTGGCTACCGATTCAACTAAGTCATCTAGTTGAGACATCGTATATTCACTGCTACAAAGCATTCAACGCATGTCAATTGTTTTTAATCTCCTACTACAAAAGGAATGCTGCAGGTCACTCCTTACTCCTTATCTAAAAAGCATAGTTTTCGAAGTTACAGACTAAATTTGCATATTCTGAACAAAATGTTTTTCCAAACCTAAGAGTCGCACTCCAAATACTATTATCCTTACTATTTCATAATTAAATGAACGTTCGTTCAATTAATTAAAATAAATTTTGACGTATTTACAATCAACAATGGGACAAGATCCCTTAAGTCATCTAATTTTTAAATGTGGAAAAAAAAAATTTGAAAGGATCGACTTTGATGAAGTAATTGATAAATTTGCTTCATCCAAGGCAAGAAAAATGTATGCATAGTAATTAATGTATTGTAAATATTACATTATTATTAATAAATATATCTACTTATCTATAATATATATTAAACTTTTAATTGTTTAAAAACTGTACTTTTTTTAAAACAATTATAAAAATATATAAAATAAATAATGCTTTTTAAACTACACTGGTGTGCAAAAATTAAGGACGAAGTCGAAAAATTAGCATATCAGCTGAACGAAGAGGCAGAGCGGACAGAAAGACCAATCAGGAGATTAAGTAAGGTGAAGTACGGTAGCACATGCGCAGATATGCAGGTAGACGTAATGGGGCAGTGTCTGAGTAGTATAAAGCATGTTGTCGGTGTAAGATCAGTGTTTTTGGCAAAGAGATTGCACGCCGTCCGATTTTAACTGCTATACCATTTCTTACTGCTGCCTCAGTAAGAAATGGCGAATAATCAATCTGTTAGACGACATTTGGATGCTTTTACCCGAGGTCGAATCATTGGGAAGTTGGAGGAAGGCCGCAGTGTAACAAGTGTGGCTGCAGAGTTCGGAATTGCTCACAGCATCGTTTCACGACTTTGGAGACAATTTCAAACTACAGGAACAGCTATCCGGTGGTTTAGTAGTGGTCGTCCACGAGGAACCACACCCGCAGATGACCGGTATATTGCTTTACAGGCCAGAAGAAACAGGCGGCAGACAGCGGGAGAAATCGCTAGACACACGACACAGGCGACTGGACGACCGATATCGGGTTTTACCGTGGCCAGAAGACTGCACGGTTGTGGTCTGTTTGCACGACGCCCTGTACGGTGTGTACATCTAACGCCTGCCCATCGGAGAAGGCGTTCTCTGTGGTGCCGGGATCACCGGAATTGGAGAGACAATGAATGGGGACGCGTACTCTTTACAGATGAGAGCAGATTCAGTCTGACTAGCGATTCTCATCGCATACTCATCTGGAGGGAGCGGGAAAGCAGCAATCATCCCTCGAACATCATTGAAAGGGACAGGTATGGAGGTGGCGGTGTTCTCGTTTAGGGAGGCATCATGCTTGGTAGTCGTACAGACCTTCACATCTTCGACACAGTTTCAGTCAACGGGACCCATTATTGTAACGAGATTCTTCTTCCATATGTGCGTCTTTTTAGAGGCGCTATGGATCCGCAGTTCCTCTTCATGGACGACAATGCACCATGTCATCGCACAGTAGCTGCCGAACAGCTCTTAGAGAGTGAGGATATTGAACGTATGGATTGGCCGGCACGATCTCCGGATCTCAATCCCATCGAGCATGTATGGGATTTTCAAGGCAGACGCTTAGCAGCTCGTAACTTACCACCAGTAACGATTCCGGAGCTTCGATTGGCGCTGCAAGACGAATGGGCAGAAATGCCTCAACAACTCATTGACACCTTCATTCTCAGCATGGGCAGACGCTGTGAAACCTGCCTAGCAGTCAGGGGAGATCATATCCCCTATTAAAGACCGGATGTTTCTTGCTGGACACCCATCACAGGGATGTTTTGGCCTTCAGTTGCATTGCGCTCCATGCTACTTTTTCAATAAAACTTCTTTTTATCCCTCTGATTTCTCTTTTAGTAGGTGTTGCTTACATTACTCATGTCCTTACGTATTGGGGATCTTACGTATTAAATGTGTTGATTTGGAAAGCTTTTGTACAAAGTTATACTGAAAAAACTGTCTCGTCCTTAATTTTTGCACACCAGTGTAATTCTAGATCATCGTATGTCTGATTTTTCCTCCGACACAGATACATTTCCGAATCCAATTCTAGTGTAGTTAGGTAGTGTCTATTCTTGTAACATATTTTAGAGTATTTTATGGCAGATTCAGCATTTTATTATTATTTGCACTATTTTCTTTTTACGAATATATTCTATACATTATATCACTGTAAATGTTTTTT